CATTGTGTATATGTACCACACTCTGTTTATCTATTCATCTGTTGATAGACACTTAGGTTGCTTGCAAATCTTGGCTATTGAGAATAGTGCTGCAACAAACATGAGAGTGCAGATATCTCTTTAATGTACTGATTTCTTTTCATTTTGGTATATACCTAGAAGTGTGATTGCTGGATCATATGAATTACCATTAGCTATTAGTATTTTATTTTTCCAATGTTGAAATGGGTGATCAATAGGAATAAACTACACAGAACTCTGACAAATGGATCAGAGAGCATAATAGAGTCAAGCAAATGTATGTGGCTAACTGAAAAATTGAAACAGACTAACAATATAATGGTATCTGACACAAAAAGGGAATTCAGAAGCTTTGTAAGCCAAAGTCTACACGCACTGGCTCACTCTGCTCCTGAAGTCAAAGCAGCCCACCAAATGCTATAAAACACTGAAAAGGTATTGGAAATAAATGGAAAATTATCCTTGCTTCCATGTAAGGAAAGTCTCCTGCTTACTTCTAAGGGCGGAAATAGCAAACAAGTGAGAAGATAGTCAAAGCTCAAAGCCAGGACTAAGGTGAGGCAAGGGAGGTGCTTAGGGTGTAGAGTTTAAAGAGGAGCTCACTCTCAGGGCAGGCAAGTACGAGCCTTACAACTGTAGGATGCTAGAGTGAGTGCCTCCTTCAGTGTGGGCACCATGAGGACAGGAAGTCTTCTCAAAAGAAGGAGAATTTACACGGGCCGAAGGAAAAATGGCATTCTAGGAGAGACAGTGGTACAGAAGTTGAAAAGTTGGTTCAGTAGACAACAAGCAAGTTTGTATGTTTGGGGAAAAAAAAAGATTTATTCTGGGCAACTGTAAGTCTGAAAAACCAGGTTAGGCCTTTACCTTTGAATGTCACATTTTTATTATTTTTAATTTGATGCATATTTTTGTGAATAAAATTTTATGGAAACCCATGCACACCTGCTTGTATAAGAGTGATCTATGGCTGTTTTCACATTAGAATGGCAGAGTCCAGTAGTTGCACCAGAGATAAGTAAGGCCCACAAAGGCCATTTCCAAAATGAGTTTACTGGCCTCTGCTCAAAATAGCTGAAAGATGCCAGCATATTACTTATTGCAGAATAATATATAATAATGACAGAAAATTATGCTCAATTAAAATTTTATGAATTTCAAATTTTATTGATAAAATAAATCCAAGAACAAAGAAAATAAATTGTAAGGCTTTTTTTTTTTTATGTAGAAGTAACAGCAGAAATGGCAGAATTTTCTCTGTATGTCTTGCAGAGATCTGGCTTTTGGGGGCAAGGTTGGAGTCTAGATTACTTGCCATAGAAAGGTGATACATTTTAAGTAAAAAGTAAATGCTCTACAGAGAACACCAGTCATTGAGGAATAGAATGATTCCAAGACTTGGTGCAGTTCCTTTGTTTTGTACTGAAAGCACAGGAACTTTAGGGATATGTTACCTAACTTGGCAACTTAATCCTTTCACTGCTGCTTCTAAAAGTTTTCTTCTTAGTTTGAATTAGGCCATGGTAACAAAAACAAAGGCTTTACCTTGAGGTTCTGTAGGTAAAGCAGAGCTGAGTTATGTGACAAGGCTAACCAGGTAATTCTGTGTTTTGTCTGCCAAGGTTTTCTCCTGATACCAGCAATCAGGGTGCAATTGACTCAAAGGAGAGATACGATTGAAAGGAATTATATTTCTTTTTTAAACACAGAATTCATTTATTTAAAGATGAATAAAATCTTCAAAGTTAGTGTAGGTTTTGTTTTCTTTAAATCCTCAACCCATAATTGCAAGCAAACACAAACAAAACAAGGGGAAAAATCAAAAGAAAAAAGTCTAAACATGACCAACAGAGCAATTTATATATTCTCAAGTCCCAAAGTTGGTACAAAGATAAACTCATGCTCTCCAAACAACCCTAATAATTACAATAAGTTAGTAAGCTCCAACCTCAGATTATAAAAGGATAAAGCATGGGAAATCTACTTTTCAAAAAAATTTTAAATATAAATGGGTACTACAGGAAATAGAGAAAACAATGAAGCCTGCTTTAAAGTCAATTTGGTAGATATTTTTCTTATTACAAAATATGTATTTCATTTAAAAGTATTTGTTTAAAGTAGAGAAAATCAAAAAGAAATTGCAATTTCACACTGTAAGTCTATAAATTATAGATAACCACACATGACATTGCGCCACTCACTAAGAAGAATATGTAATAAAGAATTATAGGAAAATATGAGTGAAAAACTGGAAACAATCTCACGTCAAACACTAAAAAATGAAAGATTGAGTCAATATGACATATATAAAGTGCATAAAGTTATGCCTGTATTATAGCCATTTTTTCAAGAAATTGCAGAGGTATTGGCAAATTTTCATAATATAAAATAAATGTAAAAAATCGGATACAAATTTGCATATATAATTTGCATATACAATTTGCATTATGGGTTGAATTGTGTCCCCTAAAATTCACATTGACATCCTAAGAACCTCCAAATGTTGTTGTAGATGTCATCAGTTAAAATGATGTGATTCTGGGGTAGGGTGGGCCACTAAATAAATATGACTGATTTACTTATAAAAATGGGAAACCTGGGTGGGCATGGTGGCTCATGCCTATAATATCAGCACTTTAGGAGATTGAGGTGGGTAGAGTGCTTGAGCCAAGGAGTTTGAGACTAGCCTAGGCAACATGGCAAAACTTAATCTTTACAGAAACACAAAAATTATCCAGGCATGGTAGGGTATGCCCGTAGTCTCAGCTACTCAGGAGGCTCAGGTGGGAGGATCATTTGAGTTTGAGAAGGCAAGCTGCAGCGGGCTATGATTGCACCACTGCACTAGAGTCAAGAGTGAGTCCCCATCTCAATAAAAAGTGGGGTGGGGAACCTGGAGGCAGACACCCACACAGGGAGAAATCTATGAAGGCAGAGATCAAGACAATGCTTCTATGCACCAAGGAAAATAAAGACTGCCAGCAAACCACCAGGAGCTAGGGGAGAGACCTAGAACAGCCCTCAGAAGACACCAGCCTTACAGACACCTTGATTTTGGACTTCTAATCTCTAGAACCTCTAGAACTGTGAGATGGTAAATTTCTCAGAGTTGTTTAAGCTACTCCACACCTGTGTGTGTGTGTGTGTGTGTGTGTGTGTGTGTGTGTATGATTTTCTCAGTGACCCTCTCTAGTCACTTCTTCCCTGGTGACTCTATGTAAAATTGCAAATCTCACCACATACAATTTCGTGCTTTATTTTATCTACTTGCAAGTATCAATATCCAACTGTACATACATATATAATTTGGGGGGAACAGGTGGTTTTTCATTACATGGATAAGTTATTTAGTGGTGATTTCCAAGATTTTGGTCACCTATCACCTGAGCAGTGTACACTGTACACAAAGTGTAGTCTTTCATCCCTCACGTCTCCCACCCTTCCCTCTAAGTCCCCAAAGTCCATTATATCATTGTTACACCTTTGTGTCCTCATAGCTTACCTTCCACTTGTAAATGAGAATTACAATATTTGGCTTTCCATTCCTGAGGTTTTTCACTTCGAATGATGGTCTCCCGTTCCATCCAGGTTGCTGTGAGTGCCACTATTTTAATATTTTGTAATGGCTGAGTAGTATTCATGGTATGTATACACCATGCTTTCTTTATCTACTTTTGGGTTGAAGGGCACTCCAGATTTTTGCAATTGCCAATTGTGCTGCTCTCAATATGCATGTGCAAGCATCTTTTTCTTATAATGACTTCTTTTCCTCTGGGTAGATACCCAGGAGTGGGATTGCTAGATAAAAATGGTAGTTCTACTTTTAATTCTTTAAGGAATCGCCATCCTGTTTTCCATAGTGGTTGTACTAGTTTACTTTCCCACCAGCAGTGTAAAAAGTGCTCTCATTTTCCACACCCATGCCAACATCTATTTTTAAAAATTATTTAATATTGGCTATTCTTGCAGGAGTAAGATGGTATCTTATTATGGTTTTAATTTGCATTTTCCTGGCATTTAGTGATGTTGAGCATCTTTTCATATGTTTGTTGGCCATTTGTATATCTTCTTTTGAGAACTGTCTATTCAAGTCCTTTTCCCACTTTTTAATGAGATTATTTGCCTTTTTGTTGCTGATTTATTTCAGTTCCTTGTAGCTTTTTGTAGCCTTTTTCAGATGCATAGTTTGTGAAGATTTTCTCCCACTCTATGGGCTATTTACTCTGCTGATTATTTCTTTTGCTGTGCAGAAGTTTTTTAGTTTAATTTGCCCTCATCTAGTTATTTTTGTTTTTGTTGCATTTCCTTCCAGAGTTTAGAAGTCCAAAATCAAGGTGTTGCATGAAGTCTTCACCTAAGCCAAGGTCTTCATCAAGCCAAGGAATTTTTCTGATGTTAACGTCTAGAATTTTTATGGTGTTGAGTCTTAGATTCAAGTCTCTTATCCACCTTGAGTTGATTTTTTTTTTTTAAATACGGTGAGAATTAGGATCCAATTTCATTCTTCTACATGTGGCTTGCCGATTATCCCAACATCATTTTGTTGAATAGTGTCTTTTCCCCACTTTACATTTTTGTTTGCTTTGCTGAAAATCAGTTGGTTGCATTTGGTTTTTATTTCTGTGTTCTCTATTCTGCTCCATTTGTCTACTTGCCTATTTTTACACCAGGACCATGCTTCTTTGGTAACTATAGCCTTTTAGTATTGCTTGAAGTTGGGTAATACGATGCCTCCCTGTTCTTTTTGCTTAGTCTTGCTTTGGCTATGTGGACTCTTTTTGGTTCCACATGAATTTTAGGATTCAACATAGTATATATTTCATAAATTTATCATTTCTATTGATTTTTCTCCATTGGACTGTAATCCCCACAAAAGTAGGGATTTTTATCTTTTCATTTCCTGATGTTTCTGTGTACTTAGAACAGTGCTGTAGGATAGAGATAGACATTCCAAAAATGTTCAATAAACAAGCAAATGAATGGAAAATATTGTAAACGAAAAATAAACTATTATGTTAAAATAGTTTTCTTTGGGCAGTGAGATTGAGATTTATTGGTGTGTGGGTTTTCAGATGATCTATATATATATATATTATCATTGTAATCACAGAAAAATATTATGACATTTTTAAAAAGCAAAGTGGAGAAAGTTAATAATGTAAAAGGTTAGAACAAAAGTCATCAGTTTCATTATGCTTGCACGTTTTGTGCCTAACTGTGCAACACAGTATTAAGAAATTGTTTTGTCAGTTGTCCTATTATTTGCACTGAAGCAGATTATGTATTTACATGTTACCATATTCTAGAAGTGCAAAGGTATCCATTATTATAAGGAAGCTATGGATAACAATTATTTCAAAAAGTTAAATTGACTTTCAGAATTAAAGCCCTGTTGCATTCATCACATCATGTAATTGTCATTCTTAATCTGATGGGGCTGTAGAATCTCACATTTCTACACCTGACTTACTAGTAACCCACGTGTACAAATTCTTTCGTGATCCACATGCCCACTCACCTAAGAATCCTCCCTGCTGTTGGCATGGAACCACCAAAGTGCCGGGCACTGAGCCAGGTATTTAGTCTACACTGAGAGATGTACACTTATCCTCTGGAATGAATCAGAATAGGCCAGAATTACTACACAGATAATCCCTAAACAGAACATTGTGTGTGTTAAACAGTGAGAAAGACACAAACAGAACTATTTGTTAGGCAGAGGCAGCAGATAGACAAATACTTTATGATATCCCCCACTCAGAATACCTCAGAGGCTTTCTACTACCTTCCAGAAGCCTGTCTGGCATTCAAGGAAATTTATTCTTTGATCTCATTCAATCTTCCCACTATTATCTCCTGTAAGTAGGTTCCCTGCTTCTCTAGCCATACAGTCTGTTTTCCATCCTACTCCTGAATTTTCTATCTCAGTTTTATTTATTGAACCCTATTCTCCTCAGAAGTAAAATTGTGCTTGTCAGATAATGCACTTGATGTAGGGGTTGAGAAATGAATTGCTATGCTCAAGTCCTTCCTGCCAGGACCTGGTCCTCCCTTTCTCCCTTTCGTTTCAAACCCAAAGGCAGTGATAAAGCCCTGGGAATGTGGGATAACATGATCTCCCTTTAGGGCTGCAACAGTGGGAGGCTGAGTGCCTGAACATTCCTTCTGGAGAGGATGGGTTGCTGGTGGCACATTGAAGTACAGGAAAGATCCTTTCCTGAGAGGACCCATTCTTCAAGGCTCTGTCCAGAAGGAACCTCCTACTTGAAGTCTTCTACAATCATACCAGTCAGAAATGATTCCTTCTCTGGGCTCCTCTCAGATCTCTGTACAAACCATCTAGACTAAATTGACTTGTGCAGACATTTGTATCTTACTGAACTGTAAGTTTCTTGAGGCTAATGACATGTTTATATACTTGGTGTTTTCCTTCCTACCTAGAACAACCTTCTCTGCCTAATGAATCTTTGGGGTAGGAATGAGTGGCCATTTTTTGGTTATAGAAGAAGGGGTTATTTGGTGTCATCATCCGGAATTGTTTGGTTTTACAAAACAGAAATCCTCTGAAAGAAACCCATAAAAAGACAGTGTTTTAGAAGGATACAAGGGCACCTCATGGAAATTAATTGTGGCATTACAGTCTGGGTTTAATGAGAGGTAAATGTTTCCAGTCACCTCCTGTCTGCATGCCCCTCTTCCTGGCACTGTGTGATTCTCTCCAGTCTATCTGTCTGTCTATTCTATTCTCTCTTGACCATGTCTCATGGCTGGTTCTGTTCCCCCATACTTCAGATGACAAGCTATATTACCTATTGTGAAGCAAACTCTGGCCCGAGGTCAATCAATGTGGTCTTTTAAATTAAGACTCACCACCATCCTACTAACTACAATTTTTATTAAGTCTTTAAAAATTCTCAAGGGAAATAACATGGCTGGCATTGGTTAGCCAGGGTCAGATTAAGACACTTAGAGATCTCAAAGCACTAAAATGTTTGTGTTCCACATATACTGTATAATCAAAATTTTACAATAATTCTAAGAAATGAAATAAGTGTGAGAAAGTCCATAATAGTCTGATATTTTTTCCCTGATGACTACTTTGATTTTTTAAACATCCTAGTAATAATTATTATCAAAGGAAATTTGGTGTTTCCTCCATTTTTCCAATGCATTAATCATTATCTATTTGGTAATCTGACTTGGGGCCACCCAGGGGATTATCTTCCCCAGGAGAGGTGATATGGTTTGGCCCCCACACAAATCTCATCTTGAATTGTAGCTCCTACAATTCCCATATGTCATGGGAGGAAGTTGTTGGGAGATGACTGAATCATGAGGGTGGGTCTTTCCCATGCTGTTCTCATAATAGTGAGTGGGTTTCATGAGATCTGACAGCTTTAAAAATGGGAGTTTACCTGCACAAGCTGACTTCCCTTGTCTGCCTCCATGTGAGACATGCCTTTCAGCTTCTGCCATGATTGCGAGGACTCCCCAGCCACGGGGAACTGTAAGTCCAATAAACTTCTTTCTTTTGTAAATTGCCCAGGTTCAGGTATGTCTTTATCAGCACTGTGAAAAAAATATATATGGTAAATTGGCACCAGCAGAGTGGAGTGCTACTGAAAAGATAACCTGAAAATGTAGAAGCAACTTTGGAACTGGGTAACAGGTAGAGGTTGGAACAGTTTGGAGAGCTCAGAAGACAAGAAAATGAATGTGGGGAAATTTGGAACTTCCTAGAGACTTGTTGGATGGCCTTGATAGAAAGCCTGATAGCGATATGGGTAAGAAGGTCCAGGCTCAGGTGGTCAGATGGAGATGAGGAACTTATTGGGAACTGGAGCAAAGGTGGCCCTTGTTATGTTTTAGCAAAGGGACGGGTGGCATTTTGCCCCTGCCCTAGAGATTTGTGGAGCTTTGAACTTGAGAGAGATGACTTAGGGTATCTGTTGGAAGAAATTTCTAAGTAACAAAGCATTCAAGAGGTGATGTATATATCTTTTAAATCTGGGTCTAGAGGTCAGAGAAAGAAGTTAAAGGTTTTGAGGCAAAAGAAAGCCTTCGTTATTAGAGGGAGCCACATGGTATGGAAAAGAATGCAAGCAGCCTCTAGGAGATAAGAGCAGCCCCAGCTGACAGCCAGCAAGCAAACAAGAACCTCAGTCTTACAACCACAAACACAGCTGACCTTGAATATCACAGCTTGAACTGTGCAGGCCCACTTATACTAGTTTTTTTTTTTTTTAAATAACTGTATTAGAACATGTTTTGGAGATTTGCAACAATTTGAAAAAATTCCCAGATGAACTGTATAGCCTAGAAATATATTCATCTCATATATATATATATATATATATGAAAAGTTTAGATATGCATGAATATATAAAATATATACAGATACCAGCCTATTTTATCATTTACTACCATAATGTATAGGCAAACCTATTAGAAAAAGTTTAAGTTTATCAAAGCTTACACACTCAAATACTTACAATTATATGTGATGCCATCTGCAGTTGAGAGAAATGTAAAAAACATAGAGATGCAGTATAAAAGCATTACTGCATAACATTAACTGTAGTAAATGCTCTTACTTCTGAAATAATTTTGTAGGCACATCCTGGTGCTACTGTGGTGAGCACAAGTGTTGCAAGTATCCACTTAAAATGCCATGTGGCACTAATCATCCTGTAAGCAGTTTATCTCTCCAGTAAATTGCATATAATAGTAAAAAGTGATTTCTCATGGTTCTCACATATTTTTCATTGTGTTTAATGCAATACTGTAAACCTTGAATAACACCATGGAACCCATATGAAGTGCAACTAATGTTGGTAGAAATGTACCCAAGAGGCAGAGAAAAGTCATGACATTACAAGACAAAGTTGAATTGCTTTATATGTACCATAGGTTGAGATCTGCAGCTGCAGTTCCCTGCCATTTTAAGATAAATGAATCCAGCATAAGAACCATTGGAAAAGGAAAAGAGAGAGAGAAGGAAATTTGTGAAGGCATTGATGAAGCCTTGCCAGCAGGTGCAAAAATGTTGTACTTTTTGCAAAATGCCTCTTAATCTTGTATTGAAAATGCAGCTTTTATGTGGGTGTAATATTGGAATAATAAAGGCATACCTATGTACTCTAATATTATTCAAGGAAAAGCCAAGTCATTATATGACAACTTAAAGCAAAATGAACATGAAAGATCTAAAGCTGGAGGATTTATTATCAAAACATCCTTTGCTAGCAAAGGGCGTTTTAGAAAGAGGTTTGGCGTTAAAAATGTTAAGATAACAGGAAAAGTAGCTTCTGCCTACCAAGAGGCAGTAGACGACTGTCCAGATGCAATTAAGAAAATCACTGGGAAAGAATATCTTCCTAAACAGGTTTTTAATGCAGACTAAAGTTCCCAATTCTGCCAAAAATGCCACAAAGTATATTTATTAGAAGAGAGGCAAGCACCAGGAGTTGGGGCAGGAAAGAGTAGGTTAATGCTACTGTTTTGTGCAAATGCAGTCGGGCTTGTGATCAGGACTGCTCTATCTATAAGGACTTTGCCTACCATGAAGTCTTGAGAAAAGAAGGGAAACACCAGCTGCAAGTCTCTTTGCTTGTACAAGAAGAAGGCTGGAGGATGAGAAACATTTTTCTGTTTGGTTTCATTGATGCTTTGTCCCTGAAGTCAGAAGAACCTTGCCAGTAAGAAACTGCCTTTAATTTATATATATATATATATATATATATATATATATATATATACACACACACACACACACACACACACACACACACACACA